AAAGAAAAAAAGAAATGAAGGTTAGATTCTGGAGTCCAAAATGGGTGGATACAAGAGGAATATTATTTCCCCTAGACAGTGTTGGGTCTTTGCTGTAGTTACCTGGCACCCTAAACTCATAAAAAGACCACAAATCCCAGTTTGTCTTGCAGACCTGTGGAGCCGGGCTTGGTGTCTGCCTGTTACCCTAACAGTTCCTACCAGCCTGGGATGGGGAGTTGAGTTCAAGGCCATCCTGGGCTGCACAGCAAGACCCTGCCTCAAAGAACCTAGACTAGTACCAACGATGTGCTGGGAATTCAGAGGGGACTTGCCCTAGGAAATTCAGTCTGAGAGCTGATAGTGAACTTAACGTAGCGGTCCCTCCGCCATCCTCAGAGGATAACTTACAGGACACTCCAAGAAGGCCTGAAAAGGCTGATAACACCGAAAGTGATTTTCCCCGTGCATACCCAATCACGACAATCTATTAATTAGGCACAAGAGGAAACTAACAACTAAAAAAAAAACCTGTAGCTACTGTCCAAGCTGGTACAGCAGTGCTTCCTGGGAAATGTAGTTTCCTGTGGCATGAAATCCTTGTATATTGAAACCTAGGTTTCTCTTCCTCTATTGCATCTACTCGGAAGTCCCAGCCCGCCTGGACCGTGCATTATCCCGGGCCCCACTGGAGCTTGGCCCTCACTTTCGGCGAGGATAGATACCTTTGTTCTTTGGGTGGTCACGTGAACGGACTCGCCACGCAAGTCTGGGTCCTCACACCTTCCAAGGGGTCCTCGCTGCCTGCCCCTGAGTCGCTCCTAAACTGCCTGTTCGCGCGAGAGCTTGGAGGGGCGGGCTTCGGATCGGCGTGGAAGGGGCGCGCATGGCACCGCCGGGTCCCTGCTCAGCTGCCTAGTTAGCTGCGGACGGCTGGGCAGGCGGTCCCCGGCCACCCTGAGCCCCGGCGGGCGCGCTGGAGCAGCCGGGACAGCCTCGCTCCTCCCAGGCAGCTGCTAGGGTCGGGAGCCACGGAAGACAAAGTGAGAGTCCGGCGGCTTCCCAGGGCCTGGGCCACGGCGGCGGAGGTGGGGCAGATGCGAGCGCAGAGGCTCCGGGCGCACTGAGGTTGGGAACGGAGCCGAGCGGCCGCGGTGGCGGAGGCCAACTTGGGACAGGGGCTGGTCTGCACGGGAACGCTCACATCTGGAACACCTGGTCCACACAGGCCCTCGTGGAGGGCTCTCGCCGGCCTCGTGGCCTGACTGACGTTTCCTTGTTGGTAGCCTCCCCTTTTCTGCCCGCCACCCTCGCATGATTGATGATCTGCATCCCACGGCTACTGCATAGCTCTGTGAGGTCTCAAGTCCAGTGCTAAAATATTAATGACCAGGCCGTCACCTGTGGAGGACAGAGTCTCTGAGTCCCAGTCTTGAGTTCTCAGTTCCCTTTCCCTCACCCCCCAACCCCGGGGAACTCCAGTCCCTCGGGCATTTGTACCTTGGCCTGTTCTTGGATAATAGAATCAGTCACACTGAGGCCTTGGAAGGCCTTGGGATGAAGGGTGGCGGGACAGGGGAAACAGATCTCCTCACACTGTGTTCTATTTCCACACGAATCCAGGTGGAGCGACCCCGTTACGCCAAAGATGAAAGGCTGGGGTTGGCTGGCCCTGCTTTTGGGGGTCCTGCTGGGGACAGCCTGGGCTCGAAGGAGCCAGGATCTACACTGTGGAGGTAAAGGCATAAAGACCAGGAGGAGTGGGAGGTGTAAGATCCAAAGCGTGGAACAAGGGTGGATGTGAATCCCTGGGTTGACCTCGTTCTCTCCCATCCCCACCCCCAGCTTGCAGGGCTCTGGTGGATGAATTAGAGTGGGAAATTGCCAAGGTGGACCCCAAGAAGACCATTCAGATGGGATCCTTCCGAATCAATCCAGATGGCAGCCAGTCAGTTGTGGAGGTAACTTACTGCTCCCCCCAAATAAAGGAGCTCACCCAGGCTTGGACTAGGAACTTGGTTTAGTTCGGAAGGGAAGAAAACAGGCGGCATATGACCTGTAATAATCCCAGCACTCAGAGGCTGAAGCAGAAGAATCTCTCTGAGTTCCTGGCTAGTCTAGACCACAGAATTAGATAATGTCTTCAAAGAGAAAAGAGAAACAAACAGAAACCAGCTGGAACAATTCTGTGTCTGAAGGATTGGGCTCTAAGCCAGGTATGGTATTGCATGCCGGTAATCCCAGTACTGGGAAGTAGAAACAGGATGATCAGGTGTTCAAGGCCAGCCTGGACTACTTGAGACCATGCCTCACAAACGGCTTATTGGAAGAGGCTGGAGGCTCATAACCTGCGTACTTCCTGGCCCCGAACCTCAATTCATTGTTTCTGCTGTCGGAGTTAGCAGAGGACGGAACTTGATCTGCCCCCTTCTCCACATCCCGATGTCATAAGACTCTTGCTTCTCTAGAGCAGTACAGTATACATACATTCATTTAAAAAGAACAAAGGGGCTTTTCTGGCTGAGAGTGACGTTCAGATGCAGAGTGCTAGCCTAGCATGCACAAAGCCTTGGGTTCGGTCCCTACTATCCCATAAACGCAGCATGCTGATACTCACTGGTAATCTCTGCATGCACTCCTTGGAGTCTTCCTTGGAGCCAGAGAGATGGTTGGTGGTTAGGAGCATTTGCTGCTGTCCAGGGCTTGGTTCAGACACCAGCATCCAAGTGGTGCTTCATAGCATCCTCTTCTGATAAGGGTACTAAATGCAAGCAAACACTCGTATACATAAAATCAAAATCTTTTAAAAAAAGATTTGTATTCAAGAAATTTATATTAGTTAGAAACATAAGACATACATACACAGGGGCTGGAGAGTATTGTGGCTCAGAGGTTAAGAGCACTGACTGCTCTTCCAGAGGTCCTGAGTTCAATTCCCAGCACCCACATGGTGGCTCACAACCGTCTGTAATGAGATCTGTTTCCCTCTTCTGGCTTGAAGGGACACATGCAAACAGAACACTGTATACATAAATAAATAAATCTTTTTTAAAAAAAATCTATTCTTGAGGGATGGAGTTTAAAAAAAAAAATCACTAGTTTCTCTTCCAGAGGACCGGGGTTCAATTCCTAGCACACACATGGCAGCTCACAACTGTCTATCACTTCAGCTCCAGGAGTTCTGACACCCTCACACGGATACACATGCAGGCAAAACACCAGTGCACATGTATACATACAAAAAAAGACACACACACATAAAGCTATACCTAGTGATATACGAGGAGACATTCTTTCTTAAACGATTTATTCTGTTCTTAGTATATGTGCATTGCCTGCACGTATGTCTGTGTGGGAGTCTTGGATCCCCAGGAACTGGAGTTACAGTTATGAGTTGTCCTGTGGGTGCTGGCAATTGGACCCAGGTCCTCTGGAAGAGCAGCCAGTGCCCTTCACCACTGAGCCACCTCTCCAGGCCCTACAAGGAAACATTCTTGTGAAGTGAGTTGATGTGCTATCATTAGAACCCTATACCGCCTCTTTAATTTGTGTTCGCTTTTTTGTTTTTGTTTTTTTGAGACCAGGTCTCACTCTGTAGTCCTGGCTGTCCTGGAACTCACTCTGTAGACCAGGCTGGCCTCAAATTCACAGAGGTCCAGCTGGCTCTGCCTCCCAGGTGCTAGGATTAAAGGCGTGCGCCACCACCGCCTGGCCCCGACTAATTTATTTTAATAAATAATAAATACCTACGTCCACAAGAACTAAGGAAGTTCGCAGGAAAAAAAAAACATAGTTGATTATAGTTAAAATGGTTTCTGCCTATAATTTGAAGTTAATGGTGCCTGTCTTATTTCTTGGGATTTTACAGTCAGCTAAAATAATAATGTACATTTGCCCCGAGTGGTGGCTCACTCGTTTACTCCCAGCACTTGGGAGACAGAGGCAGGTGGATCTCTGTGAGTTCAAGGCCAACCAAGGCTGCAGGGTGAGGCCCTGTTCCAAAAGACAAACAAAATATGTACATGTGAAAGTAATTTGAGAGGAGGGAAGGACAGTGGACAGACTCTGAAACCATAACAGACTGGTATTAGTTGTTTGAGCTAGCTTTGAAAGAAAAAGTACGTGTACAAATGACTAATGCGTGAGGTCGAAGGGGGTGACCTAAGGCTGAGTACATTTCTAGGTGCCTTATGCCCGCTCAGAGGCCCACCTCACAGAGCTGCTTGAGGAGGTGTGTGACCGCATGAAGGAGTACGGGGAACAGATCGACCCTTCCACCCACCGCAAGAACTACGTACGCGTTGTGAGCCGGAGTGGAGAATCCAGTGAACTAGACCTGCAGGGCATCCGAATCGATTCCGATATCAGCGGCACCCTCAAGTTTGCGGTGAGTTGTGGCCGCGAGTACCTGGTTCTTGGGAACTAAATAGGGGCTGTTGGGCCTAAGTTGGGGGGGTCGGCGGCAGATGGGGCGCTGCGCGTCTGTAATTCCGGCACTCAAGAGGCAGAGGTAGGAGATGAGGCTAGCCTGGGCTACATACATTATGCAGCCAGGCCAGCGGGGGCTGTGTGATAAGCCCGCGTCGGCGCCCCGTGTCAGCTGGCTCCCCCTTGCCTGACAGTGTGAGAGTATCGTGGAAGAGTACGAAGATGAGCTTATCGAGTTCTTTTCCCGGGAGGCGGACAACGTCAAGGACAAGCTGTGCAGTAAGCGGACCGGTAAGCCACGCCCCCTCGCTTCCTGTGCTGGCGGGCCCCCGCCCTTACCGTGCAGGACGGTGTGCTCTCACACTCAGACCTGATGGATGCCCCACCGCTGGCCTCCACTCCCGTCGGCTTAGGGGTTGGAGTCATCTTTATCCAGTCGCTACCCATCAGCTTTCAGATACGGGTCTCCGTTAGGTACCGGAGAGAGCAGCGGGGATAACTGGTCATCTGTGAGCATGTGCTTGGAAGAACGGTGGTGGGTGTCAGTTTGGCTTAGGATGTTTTCTTGAGAGGGGTGTGAGAAAGAGAGAGAGACAGAGAGAGAGACAGAGACAGAGACAGAGACAGAGACAGAGAGACAGACAGAGAGACAGAGAGACAGAGACAGAGAGAGAGAGAGGCCATTCCCTTCACGCTGTTGTGCGCTGTTGCAGATCTGTGTGACCACGTCCTGCACACATCACACGATGAACTGTGAATCACTGGGAGCAGCGTAGACCACCCTGATGGAGCGCCCCCAGGAGGGGACGATGGCGGCGGCGGCGTTGCCTTTTCTATTCTGTTTTTATGGAAATGAACTGAAAAAACGTCTGAAACCGAAAGTACAAACTGTGTTGTCTTTTTATGCCCAGATTCAGCCTTCACGTTAGGTGTGGAGGCCGGGGGTGGCAGACAGGAAGAAAATGGAGGGTAGAGTTTGGGGCTGGCACAGCATACAGTTAGGCCCTGTAATTCTCGGTCGTCTGGGGTCCTGTCCCACCTATGAACCATAGGTGACTATTTGCTCAGCAGGTACTTAGTATTATGTATTGGCATAGTACATATGCCAATACTCTGGCATAGTGAAGAAAAGAGAAACCACTGTGTGAGCGGAGGAACATAAGTGGCCAGTGTAAGACTCTAGGAAGTCCTTGCATTTGGACTCAGAAAACATTAAAGGTGGAAGTTTGGAATTCATCTAGAAGGAAATAATGGAGATGCATTATTCTTCCCTCTGCCCTTCCAGATGGAGGGACCAGCAAGAGCAGAGACAGGAAGGGGAAAATGGATGTGACCAGCTCAGCTGAAAAATAAGGGCTTTATCAAATAGGGACAGCCGAGGTAAGGAGCGTGGCTTATTGGAAGACCTTACTTGCTGGCCCTAAGTTCTGTGTTTAGTGCACACAGCAGCAATTAAAGTGTATCTTTTGCTTGAGATATAGCTCAGTGGTAAAATATTTGTCTAACCCGTGAACATCCCTGGTTTTGATACACTGATTAAAAACAAACAAAAAACTATACCAGGTATGGTAGGGCACACCTCTAGTCCCAGCACCTGTGAGGCTGAGGCAGGAGGATTCCACATTTGAGGCCAGCTTTGGCTACCTAGTAAGGCCCTGTTTCAAAAGCACTCTCCCCACTTCACTGGAGGGATGGCGGAGCGGTTAAGAACAGTAGTGCTGCTCTTTCAGAGGTCACAGGTTCAATTCCCAGCACCCACATGGCAGTTGACAACCATCTGTAACTCCAGTTCCAGGTCTGATGCTCTCTACTGGTCTCTTTGGGCACCAGGTGTACAAGTGGTACACAGAAAAACATTCAGACAAAACATCCACACATAGAAACCCTACCCACCGTCAAAGATTTTATCCTCATGTATCGCAAGCCACTGATAATCTAATAGACTATTCTGCCCTGGACATAGTGTTGAAAATCTAGGATATCTGCCTTTTGAAACTTCTTCAACACCTGATGTTGAGATATTTCAGAGTTTAGAAACATTCTTGTCTCAGGAATGCCTTAGGGCATCTGAATGAATAGTTCCATTCTTTTTTATTACTGTTGCTTTATGGAGCTGCGGTGGTGGGGGACACACACAGGGTTTTTTTTGTTTTTTAATTTTACATTTATTTTGTTTGTGGACTGTGTTTGGAGGTCAGAGGACGACTGTGTATGGGTCCAGAGATCAAATCCAGGTCTTCACACTTGGTGCCAAGCGCTTTTACCTGCTTAGCCGTATCGCCTCCCCCTCAGATTAAATGACAACTGCAACAGTTAACGCTGGGTGTGGTGCCACGCACTAGAATTCCCAGTGTTCGCAGAAACAAGGCAGGAGGGCAGCTGGGCTTCATAGACCTTGTCTCAAAACAAAACAAAATAAGAATAAAGCCAGGCATCGGCGGCGGGGGGCGCATGCCTTTAATCCCAGCACTCGGGAGGCAGCCTGGTCTACAGAGCGAGATCCAGGACAGGCGCCAAAACTACACAGAGAAACCCTGTCTCAAAAAACAAACAAGCAAAAAGAATAAAAGGGCTGGCAAGATGGCCCAGTGGGTGAAGGTGCTTGCTGCCAAGACTGACCTGAGCTCTATCCCCAGATCCCACTTGGTAGGAGAGAACTGACTCTGCCAGATTGTCCTCTGACCTCCATGTGTACACTGCGGCCAAAGTACACGTACACAGTAGATAGTACATACCTTTCTAAAAGTTACAGCATTTCAGGATCTAAAGAGACCTTGGGCATGATAGTACACAGTCGTGATGCTAACAGTCAGGAGGAGGGTTGCAAGTTCGAGGCCAGCCTGAGCACATGGTGAGGCCGTGTCTCAAAAGCAAAAGAACTTGAAGTTGATGTAGTTTACTTCTGCTCATTATACAGGTGAATAAAATGGGATCCAGAGAAGCCACAAATCCAAAAGTTCTCAATTTAGTAGTAAAACTGGGTCTAACTTTCCTGACTTCAGGCCGATCTAAAGTAGTTACAAAATACCTTTATTTTAATCTTAATTTTTATTTATTATTATTGAGACAGAGCCTTACCATGTACCCCTGGCTGGCCCGAATTAAATTTGCTGTATACAACTTAAGTAAAACACAGCTCTCTGAACAGATGAAGATAGATTTATTCCCAGAACCTAATCAATATTTATCTGTATAATTCAGCTATCATTTGGCTTAAAAGGGCTTATTCGGGAATGTTATCATTTATACTATTTTCTACAGAGAAATTATTTTACTGTTTAAAATAACCCTGGACTTTTAAATTGTAACCTGTTTTTATGTTAAAAAAAAAAAAACTTATATACAGAACATAAAAATGAACTTTTTTTTTTTTCTAGATGTATTTATTTATTACATATACAGTGTTCTGCCTGCATGTGTCCCAGAAGGCCAGATAAGGGCACCAGATCTCATTACAGATGGTTGTGAGCCACCATGTGGTTGCTGGGAATTGAACTCAGGGCCTCTGGAAGGGCAGCCAGTGCTCTTAACCTCTGAACCATCTCTCCAGATCCAAAATGAACTCTTTAAAAAAAAGAAAGAAATGTATTCATGGTCAGGTGGTGGTGGTTCACGCCTTTAATCCCAGCAATGGGAGGCAGAGGCAGGGGGATTTCTGAGTTTGAGGCCAGTCTGATCTATAGAGCTAATTCTAGGACAGCTGGGGTACAGAGAAAATTTGTTGGGGGGGGGCTATTGTATAGCAGAGGGGAGGGCAGAGGGCAACTTTGTGAGTCCCTTCCTTCCGCCTTGACGTGGTTCTGGGAGTGGAGCTTTCTTTAACCTGCTGAGCCAGCCCAGAGCGTGAGTGTGCGCGCGTGCGTGCGTGCGTATGTGTGTGCACACCTGAAACTTATCTATAGACTAAGCTAACCTCAAACTCACATCCACCTGCCTCTGCCTCCCAAGTGCTGGAATTAAAGGAGTGTTCCACCATGCCCTGATGAGCCTGTATGTAGTCCTGGCTGTCCTGGAACTCACTCTGTAGACCAGGCTGGCCTCGAACTCACAGTGATCTGCCTGCCTCTGCTTCCAGAGTGCTGGGATTAAAGGAGTGCACCACCACTGCCTGGCTAAGCCATATTCTTTTTTTTTTTGTTGTTGTTGTTGTTTTGTTTTGTTTTGCTTTTGAGACAGGGTTTCTCTGTGTAGCTTTGGAGCCTCACAGAGATTCACCTGGCTCTGCCTCCTGAGTGCTGGGATTAAAGGCGTGCATCACCATTATCCAGCTGCCTATATTCTTAATCTTGCAAATCAAGTTATATTTTAGGCCTTAGATGCCTTCTCATTTATTTATCAGTAGTATTTTAGAGCTTCAATAGATATTTCCAAAAGACAGAGTCTGGATGCAGCCAGGAGATTTTATTATATGAAAGAAGAGTCCTGGGCTAGATAGGTGGCCCGGTAGTTTGGATCACTGGTTCCCAGCACCCACGTGGGGGGCTCACAGCTGTCTAACTCTAGTTTCCGAGGATCTGATGCCCTCTTCTGACTTACATGGGCACTAGACACTCCTGTGGCTCAGAAGGAAGATGGAGTCCTTCAGCAGTATCACCCAGTGTCCCCTGCCTGTCATCCAGCCAATGTAGAGATGGAGGTGGGCGGAGAACTTGAAACTATGAGTTGGAAACCGACCTATGTAATGAAACAAAATCCCACTAGAGAAAAGTCTTTCCTGGCAAGTGGTACAACTGTAGCCTGTCACCCTATCACTTGGGAGGGGGAGGCAGGAAGATCTCAAGTTCAAGATCAGCCTGTGCTATATAGGGTAGGATCCTGTCCAGAAAACAAACAATATTTTAAAGGAGATCAAGCCCAGGCCTCTGCCCGTGCTAAGCTAGTGATCTGCTGTTGAGCTCTAGATGTCCTGCCTAGAACTTTTTGCTGTTAAAAAAAAACAGCATGGCCGGGCGGTGGTGGCGCACGCCTTTAACCCCAGCACTCGGGAGGCAGAGGCAGGCAGATCTCTGTGAGTTCGAGGCCAGCCTGGGCTACAAGCGAGATCCAGGAAAGGCGCAAAGCTACACAGAGAAACCCTGTCTCGGAAAAAAAAAAACAAAAAAAAACCAGCAGAAACAAGGTTCTGTATTACGATTCTTGTAGTTTGTGTGAGGCAAGGCTGATCTGGTGCTCCCTGTGTAGCCAGACCCGCCCTGTCACTGACTTGCAAGTTCTGGGATTATAACCATGTGCTGCCATGTTGGACAGGGTTGAATAGCCTGGGGAAGGAAACATACATTACGTGTTCAGTCCCACAAAACCCAGCATATTTTCCTTAATACTGCGTGTGTGTGTGTGTGTGTGTGTGTGTGTGGTTATACAGTGCTAGTGTTAGCTGTCTTGGATTCTTTGTAACCCAGGGTGGTGTTTATCTCTAGTCCTCCTGCTTCAGGCTCCTAAATGATGAAATTTCATATACGTGCTATTGAGACCAGCATGCTTTCATTTGATCTTGGTAACTCTAGTTTTGAAGAAGGAAGCTCAGAGAGGTTAAGTGGTCTTTCTAGTCAGTGAGGAAGCAAGACTCCACCGCCTAGGATCATCTTAGCCAGGGATCTTCTGCTACACCTCACTTTATGAAGCAGAGTCTCCTCGTCATCTCTAATAGTTCTGTAAAAGGAAAAGAGGTGTTTGGAAATGACCTCCACGTTGGAACTCGTGTGTTCTGAGTTCTGATAGTCAGTAGCAGATAAGCATTACACCCTCTGATCATTTTTCCAGACATCAGTTTTGAGGATGACGGAGGAGGATCCTGAGTTCAAGGCCGAATTGTCTAAAAGATGTGGCCTGTTGTAGAGCTGGTAGGGTAGGACTTGCCAGTTGTCCGAGCTGTTTGGGAAGCTGAGGCAGAAGGATTGCTTGAGCCTAGGAATTTGAAGCCAGCCTGAGCAATAGTATTGATCCCTACCATTACAGGAAGATGGCGTCTGTCTTATTCACCTCAGTCATTTTTTTTTTTTATCATCTTGTATATGTGCTAGGGTGGGTGTCTCCAGTTATATAGATCAGTTATGGTTGTGCAAAGGTTTTTACAGATGGGTGAGACTGCGTAGTTCTTATCTTTTAAAGTATCTTTATAGCAAGGCACATTCTGCTGATGTCTCCGGGACACCACTGACGATCCCTGGGACTAGGGTGTGGCTCCAAGGTAGAACATGCCTTCTATGCAGGGTGCCTTGGATTTGATCCCCAGCACCTAGGAAAGCCCGGCAGATAGACATGGGCTCTGGAATGAGACTGACTTGAGTCTGAATTCTAGCTAAGGCCAATTATGAGCAATGGCCCTTGGCAAGATATTTTATCTGAGTTTCCTCCTCTTTAAAGGTACTATTACTACATATTCTAGAGTTGTAAGGATTAATTAAGATGACTCATGTACTATAATTAGATAGGAACTTGAAGTGTAAGCACTAAAGACATCTTAGCTTTTGTCAGCTGGGCACGGCAGTGCATGGCCATGACCCTAGCTACTCCAGTGGCTGAGATAGGAAGATCAGGAGTTCTAGGCCTACCTGGGCAATACTTTGCCTCAATGTAAATTTAATTTTCCCTCTAGACAGAGTCTCATATACCCCAGGCTGTCCTTGAACATAAACTGTGTAACCAAAGATGACCTTGAACCCCAGATCTTCCTGCTTCCACCTCCCAGATGCTGGGATTATATACGTGTCCACCACTCCTGGCCTTTCAACGTTTTAAAAACAGGGCTTTGGTGGCTTAGAATATGTAAGACTCACAAAACCATGCACATGTTCTTACACACACACACACACACACACACACACACACACACACACACACACACACACACAGCAAGCTACTGTCTACTAAGTAAGGAAGTTTATTTTACCTATGGTAGACCGTTTTAAGAGGGTTCAAGAACTTGCACGCTCCCATTTGTTTTTGACCACCAGGGGGCACCATGGTCCCTGTGCCTCTTAAATCCTCCCAAGGTCACAATGATGTCAAGTCAGGGCCTTCTCCAATGCCCTTTCTTGTTCTCGCTCACTTGGTTATATTTGGACCTAGAATTCCCTTAGCTATTAGAATCATGGCCGTCGTAACTTTCCCACCCATGTTCAGAAAGAGACTCTGAGCTAGGGGTGTGGGTTAGTGTTTGAGTATTAATTAGTATAGTATGTTAAAAGCCACTTTTTTTTTTTTTCCCGGTTTTTTGAGACAAGGTTTCTCTGCGTATCCTTGGCTGTGTTGGAACTCACTCAGTAGACCAGGCTGGCCTAGAACTCAAGGGATCCGCCTACCTCTGCCTCCCGAATGCTGGGATTAAAGGCTTGCACCACCACCACTGCCCTGCTTAGATGCTACATTTTTAATTCCAGAGACTGACACACAGACTCAGCTTCTGGGAGATTCCACTTATCCCCTTTCAGCTTTGGACTTTCACATTTACGTTATAACAGTGAATGTCAGGATCGGACAGCTTCAAATACATAAAATCTTGATGTTAAAATCCAGGACCCTACACCAAGGGAATTAAAATGGCACTACCCCCACATTCTCTCTGCAGTTGTTAAAACTCCAGTCACATCGTCCCTTTGGTAGCCTCACCTGATGGGGACAGCCTCTTTTTCTTAGGGCACTGGAGTTCAGCCCTCTGATCTGCTAACTAGTCTCTGTGGATAATTAACCAGGGGGAATGAGCCAGGCCAGACTATTCTGGGGTTATGAGGAAACCCTATGTGAGATGCTAAATTGGGAGCAAATATTGATCAGTGAAGCTTTGAAGTTTTTAGGGAGGTAGCTGGGGTCATTGCTTCTCCAGGGGTGTGGTTTCTCTAGATGAGATTTTCTCCTAGGAAATCTTCTGATTTCCAAGTCAGAAGAATACTGCTGGGCAGGTCTCAATCTGCCTATGAGAGAACTTGGAGAAATGAGGGTTTTCTTTCTCGTTTTCCAAGTCTAAGTCACGAAACTACATCCTCCATAAACAAGGACTATTGGCTTACATGCATTCTGAGACCTCTGCACTTTGTTACTGCCGTGTGGGAAGATGAAAGGATTGGATCGTTCACTTAGGGCTCTGGATTTATAGATAAGGTGCCCTAATCATTGGGTCAGTTTCTCTCCACCCTTAGGCCAATTACAACGACAGGATTAGGAAAGCACTGAAGTTCTGAGGTGTTCTACCCAGGGGGGGTGAAGAGCGATGTGTAAGATCATTTTAAATTCTTGTGTCATTTAGTGCAATGGTTTCTGGAGGAGCAGAGGATTAAGAGAGAGCCAGCCAAGTAGGAGAAGTGTCCTAGAGCCCTTTGGAAATACTGTGAATGATATGACAAAAACAGGGAGTGTCTAATGCCTGATCTTGGATGGACGGTAGATCTGCAGCCTGTGGCTAAATGTGAGGTGGACTGACTCTGTGGGGTCGTATGAAGAATGACAAAGTAATAGTGCCCAGGATCCAAAGACTGGAAGATGCAGGCGCCTTCATATTAAGAGGGCCTTTGTAAGACTTAGATTCTGTGCAGTTCACAAACAGCACTAAATATTCAGGTTCCTGTTTTTGCTCTTCCCCACCCGGGGATGCGAGGGGTGGGGGGTCGATCTACAATACCAGGATTTCTGCTGTTCTCACATGGTCTCCATCAAGCAGCTAACTTTGGCATCATAGCTTGCTTTCCACATGATGTCACCTCCACGGCCATTGAAGTCATTAACCAAAGACATTCGCTAAGGGAGCATGCCAGGCGGGTGGGGGAATGCAGTGGTGAATTGCTGTGTGCTGTGACCTTCAAAAGTCGCGTGCTGGAGCTTTTATCTTTCGCATTCTCCGGAGAATCCGAAATGTGTTAAGGGCAAAAGGGAAAAGCCAAAGAAGGAAGTTAACTGAGTTCTCAGGCACATCCTAAGACACCTACGGCCCCCTCTCCGCCCACTCTTAATTAGCCTAATCCGCACGGCCCAATCCTCCCCGCCGTAACGTCTGTCAGAGGCTCAAGTCCCGCCCCTCCTCCGCCTCGGGCCAATGGCCGGGTCCGAGGCGACTCCCCCGAGAGGGGCGGGATCGGGTTTCGGGCAGTGGGCGGGGCCTCGCCGAGGACCCTGGGCTGGGCGCCTCCGCCGGTTCGTCTACCCTTCCCCTCGGCCGCCTCCTTTCAACCTTGTCCGCCGGTTGGCGCGGTCTCCGTCACAGCGGCGGCCGCTCCTGTCGTTAGCTGCGGCTCCTCTCCCTCCGTCCCCGCCCCACCAGGTCCCGGGGTCGGCCCAGCCATGGCTCTACTCACGGCGGCAGCCCGGCTCCTGGGAGCCAAG